TTAGCCCCTGATCCAAATAGATGTTAAGCATTCCTCCACAGAGATCTCGATGAAGAATTTTACATGAAACCGCCTCTAAGCTTAATTCCATCAAATACTAATCATGTTTTCAAGCTTTAAAATTCTTTGGATTAAAATAGGCCATTAAACATCGGTTCTCTAAACCATCTTCATTGCTTATTTCCTTGCATTACAATCAACCAGCCTCATACCGTTCTTTCTTCACCAAATTACGTGGTCATAAGTTCACCATCACTCTCACTTATTTTGATGACTTTATAATCTTTGTATATGGCATCGATGAATTTTAAAACCTCAAAACTATCCTTGACACCAATTCCAAAATCAAAGATCTTGGCAATCTGCAATTTTTTCTAGGTCTTGAGGTAATGCCTTTTCTTTTTGGCATCTCCATTTCTCAAAGAAAATATACGCTCTAATTGCTCCATAACATAGGTGTTCTTACTGCAAAACCTTCTCCCACTCCCATGATAAAATCAAACAAGTACATAAATATTGATGATTCACCTCCGACTAATGCCACTGCTTATCAAAGACTTGTTGGTTGTTTAATCTACCTGTGTATAATAAGACCTGACTTGAGCTTCTAAGTTTAATAACTCAGCTAACTCATGTGATCTTCCACCATAATTCATCTATAGGTTACCTATAGGGTTCTTAGATTCATCAAAAAACAATCTCCTTTGCAATGCTTGTTTTTTCCTTCAATCTCAACACATAAACTCAAAGCTTTCAGCAACTTGGATTTGGCATCATGCAGTGACACAAGACACTCCATCATAGGATTTTGCATCTTTTTAGGCGATTCTCTTATCTCATGGAAATCTAAGAAGTAGCTAACGGTTCCCAGATCATCATCTGAAGTTGAGTTTCAGGCTCTTGTATCAACAGTTTGTGAATTACAATGGTTAACATATTTATTACGTGACTTCAATATCAACTTCATCTCCTGAATTTTTGTATTATGATAATCAATCAGCATGCCACACTGCAACCAATGTCAATGCCACCTTTCATGAAAGGTCAAAACATATTGAAATTGATTGTCATGTTGTGTAAGAAAATCTCAATGCAAAATTCTTCCAATTACTATCTATCTCGAGTTTTGCATAATATGCAAATATTATGCAAATATATTAACTAAACCCTTTGATCTTCATCTGATTTCTCTCATCCTATCTAAGATGAGAATCTCGATTAACTATGCTCCAACTTGAGGGAGGTATTGAGTTATATAACTGTTGTATCAAATAAGTGTTTTTATAGTTATGGTAGTTAATTTGTTGTTATTTGTTGGAAACTTGCACTGCACGCCACATCTTGCATATAAATACCATATAAATGCAAATAAAGTCAAGTTCATTATGTTCCGTCGACAATCTTTCACAATTTTTATTAACATCAAACTATTTTGATTTAGACTTGTTATTTTTGAAGTTATAAAAATCTATTGTTTTTATCATTAGATTAAAATCTAACTACCAGTAGAATTTTGAATACGTACTCCATAAAGGCAGTGAATTCAAATTCATATTTTGGTATGTGTACTCCGTGAAGATATTAAATTCAAATTCATATTTTGGTATCTACGATGATTAGTTGGTTTCTTTAAATGAATAAAAAATCAAATTAACTATTTATTTATTTTTATATATATATTTTGGTAAAAAACAAACATAAAAAAAAATGAATAAAAAACAAATGCAAAGAAAAAAAATTAGACCGAACGCATAAAAATAAACTATATGAAATATACTTCAATAAATCAAATTTTACAATAAAAAATGTTCGGATGAAAAGGCTTAGACTGACCACAAATCGGACGTACCTAGATCCGAAAAATTAAACGAGCACACCAAATTGGACTATGCATAGATGAATAAAACAGCCAGCTGCAGGCTCGAACTCGAAATTTTTCGTCCGCTAATTTTACGCGCGATTGAAAATTGATTCAACTGATCCGTCTATAAAATCAAAATTTTATTCTAGTTGACTTTTTAAGAAGCATGCTTACATGAATGTATGACATGATATGCAGATGATGCAAATGTCATGACGATGATGAATGAATCAATGTATTGATCTAAAAGTAAAATTAGAGTATGACAACTCGGATTTAGAGGACAACTGTTTCGGGTCGGCCAAACAATCCAACAAGACTAATCAAATACAAATGATCCAATCTCAAATGCTCACATTCAAAACTGGCGAACAGATAGACTCTCACCATAAGATCGCATACCAGAGTCAAGCCTCACACTCATCTTAAGTCATTGAATCCATTCAAAAAAAACTTAATGGAACTCCACATAAATTTTTAATCATTTATATATATAAACTTGAATTAAGCACACCCCTTTAGTTTAGTCTCCCAATAGCACAAATGATCTCTCAAAACTATTCAGATTTCTACTAGGACTATTGGGTTTTGAGCTGATAATTCTATAAACTACCTACAGTTTAACACTTATCAAAGTCCAATTGCATTACATGTTTGCGGTATTCTGATGTAGAGCATCACTTAAGAGAAATTGGATTGCATGTAGTGCACAGTTTGCAACATTCACGCTGGCATGACATTAGCTGACTCTTCAATTGAGTTTGGAGGACATTATGAGTTTCAATTAATGTTGATTTATGGACGGCTAATACATTTGAAATTGTCATACTATTACAGAATATAAATGATGTTTATTAAGAATGTTTATATGTTATATAACACCTTCTCCACCACCAGTGGTTCCCACCAACTTTATTCCAACCGTTTTTCGTTACCATTTCATTTCTAGGCCCACATTCACATTCCTCCCCTACTCTTCTCTTCTCTTCAAAATCTAATCTTAAATAGTTCCATACATAATATATACACCTCTTAACTCAACTTGCAAGGTTCAGCATAAAGAGTTTCTATATTTGCTACTAGTTTGAGGAGTTCGAGGTTGTTTTATTTTGTTTTGATTGGTTGACAATGTCTGCTGCTTTAGGAGCTGTGTCAGCGACCAAAGATGTTTCTTTTAATGTTCATTTGGAGGAAGAGCACAAAAACAAAGGAACCAACAAGGTTGATGGTGTCAACTATGATGATGTTGTTGAGGAAATTTTACTAGATGAAGATGAAGAGGAAGAACACAAGGTGGAGTTGGATCTTGGTCCTCAGTTTTCTCTCAAGGAACAGCTTGAGAAAGATAAAGTAAGGTTTTTTTTCAAATGTTTCTGAATTTTGGATTCTCGCACTAGTTTTTTTTTGTTGGATGAATTGGAATTTTTGTTTTGTATTTTAAAGGATGATGAAAGCTTGAGGAAATGGAAAGAGCAACTTCTAGGGAATGTCGATGTGTCTGCTGTTGGAGGTACCAATTTTATTACCACTTATCTTTTAGCCGTCGATGATGTTCAATCAAATATCGGCCGTTAGAAACGGCCAAGATTTATCTGAATTGACCGGACGGCTAAAGAGCATCTAGAATATCTTTAAACATGTTTATGTTTGAAAAATTTAAAAGCGATTTGTTGTAATGCAGAGAAAGTTGAGCCAGAAGTGAAGATAGCGAGTCTCACTATTATATGTCAAGGAAGACCTAACCTCGTCTTACCAATTCCATTCACTAGTACTGATTCCAAAAAGAGTATTTTCACTCTCAAAGAAGGAAGCCATTACAGGCTAAAATTCTCCTTCACTGTCTCAAACAACATTGTTTCTGGACTCAAATATACTAATGTTGTTTGGAAAACTGGTGTTAGAGGTGAGACACACAGACTTCATTTTATGTTTTAGTTAGATTAATTAAGCAACCATGTTTTATGAATTGTCTTTGTTATGTGGATTTCATAAATAGTGGAGAACACAAAGAATATGTTGGGAACTTATAGCCCACAGCAGGAACCATATACATATGAGTTGGAAGAAGAAATTACTCCTTCTGGCTTGTTTGCAAGGGGGACCTATTCAGCAAGAACCAAGGTAAAAAAATTACCAAATTGTGCAACATCTAGGAAACTGATTCACCTTTTTTTTTGTCATCCACATAGCATGACACTAGATTGACTATATTTTGATGTTAGAAAATTGTTATCGGTGTCTGAATGTCGGTATCACGTCTGACGCGTGTTTGTGTGAAACTAACTGATATTTGTTGTTTAGTTTGTAGATGATGATCGAAAATGCTACTTGGATGCTAGTTATAGGTTTGAGATTCAGAAGAATTGGCCTACACACCAATAAGACAGATTGAAATTCAACTTTATGCTTGATTATTAAATTGAGCTAGTGGAGTTGCGGTTGTGCACATGCATGCTAAATGATAGTGCAAGTTTTTCTTTCACTTCTATTATATGGTTTCATTTTTTGTATTGTAATGACTAAAATTTTCACATAAAGGAAATGCTCGTGACAATCGCACTCATTCCACCTAAGATGCTTCTATTGTTATTATTATCTTGTATGGAGTGTGAGGGGTGAAGAAAAATGGGGTGGAATGGACCCCATGTGGATAGACACAGAAATAGATAACATCAACTACTGCTTGTTCTTTCTGAAGCAGATGGCAAAAGTTTCATCAATTCTTTGGTGGTCCAAATTTTTTTTCTGTTATCATGATCACATGAACATATTCATTGTCATCTACCTCCTCTCTACTTTTCCTTAAAATGATTAGTAATGCATTAACTTTCATGAGTACGTAATGAGGCAAAGATTAGTAAAAATTGTACCAACCATGTGCGTGAACAGATTCGCCCGATTTCTTAACTTGTTCGCATTATGTCAACGATGATTATTACTACATTAAAATCCGAACACTAAAATGTATCGAAAACTAGCAGTATATCCTACATCTAGCCACTCATTTTGTATACTGTACTGTACAAAGCCTTTAAAAATAGTATGTACATGTAATATGTAGATTTAAAAAAAAATGAAGCAACCCCTACATGATCACCATATTGATATTACTACTCTCGAATATAGTAGCCACGGAGAATCACCAATAGTCCAACAATGCAAACTTTACTTGCAATCCAATCTTACCACCGTCAGTCACAAGCTTAGCAGCTGTAACCATCCAATGTCCAGGAGCATCATGAGGGCCTCGCAAAACCTCGGCGGTTTCAACATATTTCAGTAGCTTACTCGAGCGAACAGGTACGGGTGGGCCGTTTGGATAAATGCCAGAGTTTAGTGAAGTTGGAAGCTGCTTTGGTGGAGCAGCAGTGACACTCTGCTGTGTGAATGAAAATGTTGTGCTCAAATTTGTGAGAAAAGATGATTTTCTTGAAGCCTCGGGTGCAGAACCCCACTCTGACTTCCGTATGGTGCAATTGGTTATATGAGTGAAGAGAAGACATAGATGAAGCACATTTCTTGGCCAACTTCCTTTGGTAATGAGTTGTGCACCGGTTACAATGTAAACACCTCCGCAATTATTCAACCAGTTAGGGTCATGCTTGACGACAGCTGTGCAAATGTTTGAGAATCTTTTCCATCTGATTGGTTCCAGGAATTGGTTACTGGATTCATTTTCGTTGGATCCTCGCCACATAGATCGTACGCTCGGAGTTGAGGTATCTGAAGAGAGGATCATCTTGTTTGGGAGGCTCGAAAGATGATTTATATGTAAAGCAAGTCTGTCACTTTTCTTGCCCTCCAAGTACAGGCGGAGGCCAACCACGGGTTTCTGATCACTTACCACCTGCCATTTTGAGCAAAATACCATAATTATCAAGAGAATATAAGGTTTTACTATCGGATTGAAGGGTTACTAAGCCTAAATAGTTTCCAAGAAGATAAAATGAATGGAAGAAGATAAAAATAGAAATGATAAATCCCTACAACGTTATGCAAGCATATATTATGAAAAAACAGTGAGTGAGCTTCTTGGCTCATAGATGTTAGAATTAAGGCATGTTGTAACTAGTACATGTCTGAATTCTCTCATCAAAAAAATCACACCGCAAAATCATCCATGAATGTTAAGAAAATCGGTTACATCTAACCAAATTATTAACCAGATAGTTTGATAAAAAGAGAGTTGTTCTCGAAGAACCACAAGCACACAAATATTGTAAATACATATTCCTGAAGAGTATTTCTACAAACGCATGACTATGACACTTCGTGATTAATCATCTTGTATTTTGCATTCACACATGCAGGACATCTATAATACGGTCAATACTAAGCACAGTTCAACACATGGAATACTTATTTACTCAAACAAGAGATTTGGTTAACAGTACCTGTGTAGAGCTAATTTGAAGCTTTGGACCGAAAAAACAGAATTGCAGGGAAAGGGAAGAGGTCTTTCTCCGCTGATGCCTGAGAGGCAGTTCGCAAAACATAGGCGCCCATTGCCTTGGAATTTGAAACTCCAAAAAATACTGTAAATCTTCAGGAGAAGGCTTATCTGTAAAGAACAAGAGAATCAATGATGTGTTTCGGACCTTAATAGTAATGAACCAAAAAATGATACTTTGCAAGAAGTGACAAGGATAAATTAGGAGTCCGTATATTAGGTTTTCTGTGGTTTGTTCAATAAAACAGTCGTCAAGACATGCATTTTGTCCGCGTTGAGAAGTTAAACAACAATCTTGCATGTTTATGTTTAAGAACTAAGCTGAACACATTAAGTTGAACTGCTGTTACTTGTTTTTAATCTGGAGCCTATCTACACCGCGGCAAAAGTTTATAAATCGTAACAGATCAAAACCGGGTATGGATAAATGCCGTAGACTATATATAGGGTGTGAGAAGAACATACAGCGTAAATATAAATTGATTGCATGACTAAGATAGCCACTTCCAGGAATTCCGGTTAGAAGTGATGAAATAGGAACAAACTTGAACTTGATCGCTTCAGGATTAGAAGGGACTGTCTGGAGCCAATTTGAGTGACTGTGCTTGTACACATCTCCTCCTCTTTTGGAGCAAATAATAGTTAGGCCCTGTTCCAAAATAAAGCAATATATTACGTTCTCAAGCTAGGAATTTCAATTATTCCTAATGACAAATATTTTTTGTTGGGCGCTTACGTCTTTGCTTGATGTTTCTGAAATACTGGTAAACTGCGTTGTGTTTGATTGCATTACACGGTTAAAGACCTCGGGAACCTACATTAACAGAGAGATTGCATTAGCTCTAAGCAGAAACAAAAAATATATACTGAGGTTACAAAATAAAATATAAATCACAATACCTTTTGTTTGCTATCTGCAGTCTTCCTCTGCAGTGAAGAAGGGCTTCTTACATCCGAAAATAAAAAATCTCCAAGATCCTCTAAATGTCTTCTGATATCACCCGGAGGAATCTTAGATGAATGTTTTTGTTTGACACAAATTACATCTTGACCTCCAACAGCCATGCCTACTACTATGTGAGTACCATATGTCTGGATGAACCTGCCTAACAAACTCAATCAGCATCATATACTCAACGACCCCAAATTACATATCATTCAAATCATTAACTTCAGTTACTATGCTAAATTGTTTTACTTACAAAGCATTCTAACAGGAACACAACAATTTAAATCTACTCACACGGTACGATCAGAAAGGATTAAAAGTCTGCCCACAAGTTAATTTGAGCCTTGTACCGAAATATCACATTCTTTTATCAATTGATTCTCTCTTCGTTATTGAAAATGCTAAAATTTGTAGGGATGGTTAAAATGATTGAAGCACAAAAGCAAAAACAAGTTGAACATATTAAATTCAACACAATAACAATAAAAGTAATGGAGTGCAGAGACATGTTATTTACACCAGGAAAACACACATCCCATGATATGTTCATCTATCAAACATTTCGGCTTAGTGTTTGTTTACCTAGACAATGCGGCGGGATCCCACTGAGCTGGGACAGACTTCTTTACTTCCTCTTGCAGTACAAGTGGAGAAGCAGTCAAGTGCAAACAGTAGAGAGAAATGAAATATCCATCAAAAGCAAGACATTTGATGTCAGACGCATCTCGAAGCCAATCACCACTCAAATCAAAAAGAGCATTAAAATAGCCAGAAGGTATTTTTCCGTGTACTGCTGATTTTTTATTTAGCAGCTCAGACATCTGCAAGAAAAGAAAAGAGAGATATATAACAACACACAAAAACAAACACCAAATTAGACACAAAAATGGTTTAAAATTGCGGTTCACATCCGCTATTGCGACCGCAATATTGTTGTTACAGTAGCCTATACAACGGCATCACACTGCAATTGTGATGTGATCTTTAATCATGTGTATGGTCGAACTGTAACCGCATCAGACAATTTCGACCATGTAATATCAAATCATCTCGCCAAAAATTAAAATTTAAAAACCCCAAATTCCAATCTGCTTCAAACCTAATGAAAAGTCTTACCTTTAACCTTCTCTTAATTGTGCATCTCAAGTACCTCTCAATTAGTATTTAATAATGAAACAAACTAAAACTCTGATATGGTGCGTAAATAGTGTAGTCGCACCAACAACAGTCACAACGACTGCAATTGTAATTTAAAACCATATACAAAGTTATCTTAATTCAACATTATTATCTTTCAAACTTGTCAAAGTTTTCATTTTTGACATCTCTGCGACCTTAATACAAACATCTATCGAGCATAAACCACATTTAAGTGTGATTCTCAGTAGCAATTTAAAACATTCCCTATAAAAAACACTATCAGAAAGAAGAAAGAAAATGAACCTGATTGAACTCAAGTACATCAGACTTGAAGCGAATTCGATCCCCTTTATCACACCGAATATTCTCAGAAACCCCTTTGATTATGGTAGCTCCACCAGCTCCAGGAATCAAAATATCTGTCTTGTTTTGTTCATCAAGCACCACCAACCTTTTCCTACTATCACCACCACCCTCACGAATTCCCTTGGCAAACCTCAAACGAAAATCACTAGCCAAATCAAACCCTTTACCCAAAGATTCCAATGCCACCATCTCAATACCCTTTTCCACCTCCATACCCAAATGAAAAAATCTGAACAAATAATACAAATATATATAGATAGATAGAGTATAACCTAGTTCATGATTGTTGAGTTAGGGTCAAGGGGTCAATAAAAGTAGTTAGCTTTGGTGTTTATGTTGAAAAGGGTAACAGAAACAGTGGAGAGATTGTACGAAATCGAAATGAAAGTTCGAGGAAGGAGAAGATGAGATTGATTAACGTTACGTAACGTTAAAGGAAAATTGGTTTTAGTTAGGGTGAATTGAGTAAAGGGAAGATATAAGAGAGAGTAAGCAGAAGAGGGTACTGGAAATGGAAAAGGGTCGTATTTGAATGTTTGAGTTTGACTGTGTCAGATATGAATTATTTTGAATATGACATTTAACTTATGTTATGTTTGTAGTATCAATCAATGTCTCAAAAAATATATATTTAGTGTTTGAAGGTTGGTCCAATTGCTAGAGTTGATTAATAAGGATTTTAGACTAACTTCTAGAGGTATTCACATTCACCCTTTGGGTAGTATTCTCTCCACGCAATTATAAAAATTATAATTTATATAGGAAAATTAATATTGTTGTATGTTTATAAATGAGTTTTAATTTAAAGAATTGTTTGGTTCAATTGAGAGAAGGGAAGAGGATAGAATGGAGTGACATTTGATGACACTCTTTTCTACTTTTTATATAATTGTTTTTTTATTAAATAATTAATGTTTTTAATTTATATATATATATATAGATTAATTAATAGATTATTTGATAAACTTAAAAAACTAAAATTTAATTTGGATCAAGACTGTGGTTTTAAAAGATGACGAGAGAACAAACATACATGTTTGTTGATGAGGAAATGATATTAATAAATATTTCAACGCTGTATTTAGGGATGATAAAACGGGTTTGCCTCGTTGAGTATATCTGTTTTACTCGCATTTTAGTGCGGAATGTATCAAAAATTTAGGCATTTATTCTCTAATGTGTCCGTCTCGTTTTCTGTGGAATTTCGCTGACGTGAACATTAATATAAAATTTTATGACTAAAAAATACAAGGCTCGTTTACACACTTTTGTGAATAAAAAATACGTTGACATTTTAATTAAAAAAATATTATTTTTCTTTCATTTACACAATTTTATTTATTAGAAAAAAATTGTCAATTAAATTACTCATTTTAACAAAAAGAGAATATTACTTTTATACATTTACTCATATAATTATAGATGTTGTAAAAGAAACAAAAACGTTTTCAATAATAAATTAAGGAGACTAAGAAAACATAGATTTTAGATATTAAGAATAAATTTGGTTTGATGTTTAGGAGATCGGTCATGAAAACAATATATCTATTAAGACATGTGTTGGAGCACTATCAGATGAACCAACAAGACTTGCACATTATTTTTATTGAATTGAAGAAGACATATGTTAAAATGTCTAAAGAGATTTTGCGGAAAGCCTTAGAGAAGAATATGACTAAGATTACATATATTCGAGTTATCCAAAATATGTATGAAAGGCATAAATTTGTGTGTAGACATAGGAACAATAAACATAAGATTTCTCCATTACAATAGGATTGAACCATGGTTAAAAGTCAAGCTCCTACCTTTTTACTTTAATTTTGAAAGTACTCACGGAACACAACCAAGAGCTAGTACATAGATGTATGTTTTTTAGATGATAGTTCTCCTTGGAGAATCAAATATAAATTTAAATGAGATGTTGGATACAAGCCTTAGAAATAAATGGCTTTCGCATAAGCATAAGTAAGACGCAATATATGAAATGTAAATTCCACAAAAGAAGAATCACTTCTAATTTATAAGTAAAATTTGGAGACCATATCATTTCATAAGTCACTTGGTTTAACTATCTTAGGTATATAATACATAACAATAGAGACATAGAAAGTGATGTAAACCATCGAATTAAAGCAAAGTGGCTGATATGGAGGAGGGCCTCAAGGGGTCTTATGTGACACAAAAGTACCGCTCAAGCAGGAAGAGAATTTTATCAAACAATGGTAAGCTCTACAATATTGTACAAGACACAATGTTGGAAGGTAAAAAATCAGCATGAGATTATAAAGTAAGTGTAATAAATATGATGATATTATGTTGGATGTGTGGTAAGACTAAATGTGATAATAGTGTTATGGTAGCACCTATAGACTTATGTGGTTCAAACATGTAGAGAGAAGACTTGTAAGTTTTGTAGCAAAAACAGTAGATTAGATAGAGATGAGTTAACGAATTAGATAGAAATATTGTCTTAAATAGAACGAACATTATGGCAAAATTTTATCAATGTAGTTGACTCCACTCAATGGGATAAGATTTGATTGTTACTGAACATTCTATTTTTAACATTCTCTCTAAGTTCACTCTTTTACTAAAAAAAACTCATAAGTTCTACTATTTTGTGTAAAATTTATTTTTAAAATTTGAGATTCATAAAAATTTCATTTGTTAAAAAAATCCTTAATTTATAATGAGTTTCATATAAAGATATATTAAGAAACACCAAAAAATACTTAGATGAGATGACAAAGAATTTTTCTTCAGCTTATTCAGAGTTAAAAAAAAATTATTACACGCAACAAAGTTCTAAAGAATGGTGTAATGTCACAATCTTTCGTTCAAAGCATTTTGCCCCGATCGCATTGTGTTTAAGGGACTATATATCACAGTCTTCCACTCAAATCACTTTTCCTCTGCACGCTTTATGCTTGGAGCATTATGTATCGTTAAGTCTATTTTGACACAGTGACATCCAGACCGAGTGAGATAGACCCACATATAAGAGTTCACCAATATCTTGGGACTTAAAGACATAATGACATTCAGACTCTATGCTACTTGAAATGAGATCAGATAAGCTCACCATAAAGAGACCGATACACCTTAAGTTGGAAGATTAACTCAATCACTTGGCATAACATTGTCGTGGATAGGACAATATGTTAAAGGTCTTTAAAGATTTAGACAATATGTACCCTTAACATGCTTTAACCACATAGTTTCTCGAGATTTATATATATCTTTAATAAATTATCAATGAAGAGAATTAATGTAGATTATCATACAACTAAGCAGAGATGTCAAAACGGGCCACCCGACTCTAAATTGATCTTTCTTAATGAGTCTCAGGCTTTTGAGTGTTGGTCTTAAAAAGTCATGTTTAAATATGGACTCAAAAATCACTACTCGAGCTCGACCTTATATGAGCTTTGGACTATCTGATTCTAAACAGGCTGTTTTTGTTATTATTTTCATTTAAAAATTAAAATAAAAATTGCATAATATTTATTATAAACTAGCGTTCAGACGGGCACTCCCGTGCCCGTCTGCCCGTTTTTTTTAATGCGCACAGCATAGGAAAATAAACGCGTGTATATTTTGTATGAAGTTTTTATCATAGTTAAGATTAATTAAATGCATTTATTTTTAGATATGCTCAAGCAGTCATAAAATCAAGATGATAAATATATATATACTAAAAATATTTTAGTGAATTAAGTATACATTAATGCTACTATTAGTTTAAACATACCGAATTAAATAAAATTTAGATTAAAAAATATGTTGCTTAAACATGCAAATAATATTATTACATTTTGAAAATAACAAACAAAGTTATTCTACATTATATTAAATAATTGAAGAACAAAAAGTATTATTTATACTGTGTAATCAATAACGTTCCTTAGGAGGAAGGCCGAATATAAAATCTTTATCTTGAGAATTTTCTCTCTCTCTGCAATTGTTTTCCGTAGTAAAGAAAAAATGTAAGACTCTCACATTAGAGTTTGCTCTAGGGAAAAATATAGTGAAAGTAATAGTAATTAGTGTAATATATTATTTTTCTACCATGTAAAGATTCGAATCAATTCTTCGTACATCCCTTTATCGATGCGCTCTTGAGCTTTAAAAAACTACAAATACATCGTGAAATGTCATATCAACAAAGAAATACATTCAAAACATGTGATTTATTTGATTATAATCTGGTGTACTGAACCATAAATAAATGTATAACTGAAGAATGGAAATATTTTGTTTTAGTTCAGATTTGGTAGAACAACAACCCTGACTTATTTTTGAATTACGTGGATTTCTAGTAAAAAAGGAAAACAATGAGTTTAGTGAATATACATGGTTTTACTTACACAAACCAATAATAAAAGTAAAATTCATGCATTCAAAAATATTCTCTGGACCTAAATATTATTAAATGAATAAAATAAAAACCTGTTTATCCTTTGAGATATTATTTCTTTTTTCACCATTTTCCAAAGTTGTATTTTATCTGTTATCACTGTGGAGCCCCAACCGACAGAGCAAACTTTTAGACGCTTGACCTGTTTTTATAAGGATGATAAAAGTGTTGGTCAAAGAGTGGTGAAAATGCAACAAACATATTTTTTTATACATGTTACGAAAAAGGTAAATGCACCTTATTGTCTAGCTTGCCGATAGATGAAATTGTTTGTTCATCCTTCCATGTGTTCCATTTATCTTTAAAGTCCCCCATCTAACGTTTATTCCGTATAAGAATAGTGAGAATAAGTATGATCCAATTGATTGATTATAATTAAAAGCATAAAATAAAGGATTAAGTCTAGCTTACCTTTATGTCGAAGCAAGTTTCAACATTCTTCCGTCTCAGCTCCTTACATAATTGGAAGACTTCATTGTGTTCTAGTTTCACTGTATATCAAAGCCACACAATTTTATACTTACTTATATTTAGTTTTATCATATAAAGAATACAATATAATATTGGTATTTCGTGTACAAATGGGAATCGATGTGTGAGATTATTTGTTTAATGTACGTAATGATACCTGCGGGTGCGATAAAATAATTTGTTTAAATACTACATTTTTTGTGTAGTCACCATCTTCTCCTTCCAATTTTCCTTCCTTGGATAAAATTTTTGTTGTAGTCTGTGAAACACCTCTAGATAAAGCCACATATAACTGTCCATGACTGAAAACATGTCGTGGAAG